GAGGGAGGGCACTCCTTCATCAGAGCAGCTCACTGTGATATTATACTCAGAGGCTCTCTCTCTGTCCAACTCACTGTCTGTCACTAAACTGTAGAAATTATTTGTTGATGATGTTAAAGTAAAAGGAATATTTTCAGTTATGAAACATTTTACATTTCCRTTTTGTCCCGAGTCTTTGTCTTTTATGTTTATCATTGTTACAACTGTGTTTAATTTAGCGTCCTCTGATATAACAGTGGACTTTGACATTATTTTAATTTCAGGATTATTATCATTTACATCCTGCACATCGACAGTTATTTTACAAGAATCTGTAAGTCCTCCTTCATCACTAGCAAGTAAATGTATTTGATAGTTTCGAGATTCTTCAAAATCTAAATTTCCGATTAATGTAACTTCACCACTCTCTTCGTTAACATTAAACATTTTAGTGACATAATCTAAAGTGTTTGTTATAGAATATAATACTTTGCTGTTAGAACCTTCATCTGCATCTGAAGCTGAAACTGTAGCAACAACTGCACCTTTAGGGGAGTTTTCAGTAACTGCAGCTTTGTATGTTTTCTGTGTAAAAACAGGAGCATTATCATTTGCGTCTAAAACTGAAATAACAATCTGCATGGTTCCTGACATCTGCGGCTCTCCTCCATCTACAGCTGTTAACACCAGATTTATCTGCTTCTGTTTCTCTCTGTCTAAAGGTTTCTGTAGAACCATCTCTACATGTTTATGTCCATCTGTGTTACTGTGGATCTTTAAAGCAAAATTGTCTGCTGGCTTTAATTCATACGCTTTAAGGTCATTAACACCAACATCCTGATCCACAGCTCTCTCTAGCACAAATGTAGCTCCGACCGCCGCAGACTCGCTGATTTTAAATTTCATTTCACGCTTTTCAAATGCTGGTGCGTTATCATTAATATCTGTGATCTGAACTGTAACGCTGTAGAATTCAATCGGGTTTTCTAAAATGATCTGAAAATGTAAAGCACAGGGCGTCGTCTGTTTGCAGAGCGCCTCTCTGTCGATCCGTTCTTTAACCAGGAGGACTCCTCTGTCTCTGCTCAGCTCCACGTACTCCTCATTGTCTCGAGTAAAGATGCGCGCTTTTCCTGTTTTCAAACGTTTGATCTGTAAACCCAAATCTTGAGCTACGTTACCGACTAAAGATCCTTTGGACATTTCCTCCGGAATGCTGTAGCTGACCTGCCCGAGCACAAAGCCGAAGGAGAGGAGGGAGACGAAAAGCCTCATTTGCTTTTTCATTGTTCTGTCCGAGGTCATTTTCAGCAACGATCCTTAAGCTTTATCCCGATGATCTGACGCCTAATCAAGATATAAAAAAACGACGTTCAAACCTGCAGTCTCCACGACTGAGAAATGAGCTAAAAAGACGATGTTATTTCCATAAAAAACTGTATCGGTGGAGAGGTGCTTCTTTGTCGTCTTCTTTCTTTATACTGTTGACGTTAAAGAGGGCGTGCAGCTTTTAATACTACAGTTATTGGACAAATATGGTGAACAGCGGCCCTAAGAGTTCAAAAACAAAAACTGCACAAAAAATTAATAAAAATAAAAGAAGACTAAGCGAAACTGAGGGAGTCCTATTA